GAACAGTTTCCCTGAGTGATCTTATAGAGGCAAATCCTCAGTTGCCTTAAGCCACTTGCAGAGTGTGTTCAAGTAATAAGGTATTTTTAGTCCTGACCAGGAGCCTTGCACAGGACTGTAATCAGGAATGATTAATTGGAAATAGCTCTTCTAACCCAGGCTGTACCTGCTGTGCTCTCCTGTGCTGCCCAGCTCTGCCCAGAGCTGACATGGAGCCGCTGGAGTCCATGGAAAAGGGAATTTCCTTCCCAGCTCTCTCTGTGCTGCTTTCTCAGCCACAGACCACCCTCCCAGTGCTCCCCAGCCCAGTCTGGCATGGAGGGTTTCCAGCACAAAGTCTGGATTTGTTGCCCACAGACTTCCCTGGGGAAGAATGGGGTGTGGGAGGTCACAGTGGGGATTTATTAGCTCAGCTCAGCCCTGGCCAAGTGCTCTGCCAGGCTTTGAGAGCTGGTGCATTGCATATTCCAGCCTGGAGCAAACCCCTGCCTCCTGCTTGGGTGTGATGTCTCCAGAGTTGCTGAGGGATCAGCAGCACCAGAGTAATGAGAGTAATTTTGTGCAGTTTTGCCTAATTCAGAAAAAAAAAAAAAAAAAAAAAAAAAAAGGTAATAGAATCATAGAATCCCAGAATGATTTGGATTGGAAGGGACCTTAAAGCTCCTCTTGTTCCACCCCCTGTCAAGGGCAGGGACACCTCCCACTGTCCCAGGTTGCCCCAAACTCTGTCCAGCCTGGGACACTTGCAGGGATGGGGCAGCCACAGCTTCTCTGGGCAGCCCGTGCTGTGCCAGGGCTCAGCACCCCACACGGGCACAGAGAACCCTGCTCCAGGTCACACATGGCCTCGTGTGACAGAGGCACTGAGATGGCTCTGTCCTTGAGTCCCCTGTTCTGTGCTTCAGCTAAAATCATCCTGCAGTGTCCGTGTGCTTGTTACGTGCTGGGTTTGACCTCAGGCCAGTGAAATTTTTGGAGGTTTCTTCTTTCTGTGCTTTCAGCACATCCTTGACTATTTCCCTCCTGCATTCCACCCCCGTGGAAGCAGCCTTTGAGCAGTAATTCAGTGTAGCTGCTGCAGCCAAAGGTGCCTGGGAGTTAGCACAGGAAGGTGAAATCCACGTTATTTGGCTCTGCTGGAGTGGTGGAGCCTGCTGTGGGAGAGTTTCACTTTCCTAAAGTCAAAGCTTGGGGAACTTGCTCCTAAAGCAAGGCTTGAAATAACACCCAGCAAAGCCACGGAGGAGACAGTTCACTGCTGGAAATCACATTTCACTTGGTGTCAGCAATTCAGGAGAAAACCATCTGCAGGAAATTACGATGACAATTTCCTCTTGGAGTGTGGAGAAATTACAGCTGTAAGCGAGGAGGCAGCCAACAGCCTCCTCTCCCCTTGCCTCTACCAATTACCCTGAAAACCTTTAAGTCATTTCCCTGTACAGAGATGTCTCTACCCCACCCAGGAAGGACAGGCTGGAAGAACTGATATTGTGCAGGGAGAGAACAGCTCAGCATCTGAGGAGTAGATGTTGCATATCTGAAATTAAACCTTTAAGGAACACGGAGCGAAACTCAAGCCAGTTGCAAAATGCTGCAGGTCTACAAGTCTTAATGTGTTTGTGATGGTTTTGGACCAAAACTGGTCTTGCCTGTTGAAAGCTGATTCATGCACATGTTAAGATAACATTCATCAGAGGAAAGAAACAAAAACCTGGCTGGAAATGTGCTCATGGGACACATTCACAAGCCAGGTCTTGGTCAGGTGACACCAGGAGGCCAAGGGATACCTCCAGGACCACAGGACAACATTTACATGGGGAGATGGTGATAGGACAAGGGGGAATAATATTAAACTAGAAGAGATTAGATTAGATGCAAAGAAGCAATTCCTTACTCAGAGGGTGTTGAAGCATTGCCACAGGTTGCCCAGAGAAGCTGTGGCTGCCCCTGGATCCCTGGAAGTGTCCAAGGCTGGCTTGGATGGGGCTTGGAGCAGCCTGGGATAATGGAAGGTGTCCCTGCACATGGCAGGAGGTGGAACTGGATGAGCTTTAAGATTCCTTCCAACCAAAGCCATTCTGGTTCTACAATTTCAGCAAATGGACGTAGCATATGTCTGAATTCAGAACCTTTTCTCTGAGGTTTCAGCCATCAATTTGTTGCCTGAGAAGATCTTTCCCCACCACCAGCTGCCTTAGCAGTTGTCAGCATCTTCCTGCTTATCCCAGCACTGCTGCTGGAGCTGATGGGAGTTTGATTATGATTTAATCCAGGCTTTTAGAGGAGGGGAAAAAAGAAAATTTTGACAGTTCCATATATAGCCCTCTGACTCACCGATTTCATGTGTCAAACACTAAAGACGGGTTAAGTAGAATTAAGTTCTGGATTTATTATAAATAGGCATTAAGTAACATGAATGTATTGCATTTGCATGAAAATATGGGCCCAATTCTCCAGCTTACCCCAGAGATTTGGTTTGACGTCGATTGGATGCTCCCAGGTGGGAGCTCAGCTCAGAGCCAGCCCAGCTCTGATCATCCCCTGCAGCCCCTGTGAACTGGACCCAGCGAAACAGGAAAATCATTGCTGGAATCAGGGAAAGTTTACACTGCTTGCACAGATCAGAATTCATCCCTTAATATAGTACAATGAGTTTTAATTAGCCCCCAGATCTGCTGCTGAAGGAATAATTTCTGCATGTCAATCAGTGCTAAATGTACTTGTTAAATCAGGCAAGATTGGTTAAGTTGAAAATTGCATAAAAAGTCACTTTTCTTCTGTTTCTCCCAGAAGCTGGAGACTTTTAGGATTCAAATGTTATGGACAATCTCATCCTGCTCCAAATACTCTTCTGCTGAAGGGTCCATCCAGACAATGAAGTCACCCTCACTGAGAGCAAGTGTGACAGTCAGGCATTGTTTGGGTGAAAAAAAGTCCTCTTTAGTCAAATCACTGTTTCTGCAATGAGGGAGACAGACACAGACTCTACCAAATCAGAGCCCTCCTGAATAGTTTAATTTACTGACTTGTTCATTGCTAAACAATTGAGAATTGGTCCATGGAGAAGAACACAAAAAGGACAGACAATATGGGCTGTATTTTGAGGCTGGACTAGTCCAAGCCAAGGAAAAAAACAAGATTTTGAGTGGCATTGTTTCTGTAAAAATAAATGTTCACCCCTGCACCTCCACTTCTATTGTGAACTGGGGGTTTGGCCCTGTTTCTGCTGAGGGTGAAAAGAAGGGATGTGCCCTATAGCTCAGCCAGAGCCACTGGGACTGAGTGACAAGCTCACCCTGGAGAGGTTCTGTCATTATCCCACGGAGCTGTTGCTCATGCAGGAACAGCACAAAAAGCTCTGGGAGCTTCTCCCAGCCCTGGTGGGATCCTCAGGCTCCGGTGCCTTCCCAGCGGGGCTCTGCCCTCAGTTGTGATTTTTCTTATCAAACACCACATTCTGCTTTCTGCCATGAATATGATTTCCAATTAAATGCCTCCTCAGAGCCTGTCTGGCTGGGAATTAGGCTGGAACTTGGTGGCTGGGCTGTTAGCTCATCAAAGTCTCTGGGATAACGGGGAGGCGCCGATGCTCTGCTCGGGGATTTCGCTCATGGCTTTGAACTCGCTGCAGCCCTGCAAACTGGGACAGGCTGCCCTTTGCTCACCTTCAGCTCTGCTCCTCTCCCCTTCAGCCCACAGCTGAGTAAGCATCTCCAGGGCTACAAAACACAGCCCCTGTGCTGCTGCCCTCCAGGGATCTCAGCGTTTGTGCAGTGCCTGGGAAGGAGCTGGCCACGCGCTCCAGCTTACAGGGGAAGGATTATCATGGCTCTTATGACTCAGTCCACAGCTCCTGAGTGCTTCCCTGCATGGCAAGGAGAGAAGTGGGCATGAAGCCTCAATCTGTCCCCTAATCAGCCACCTAACAGGTCCCTGTCCCCAGGGTCCTTCCCCAGTTTGGCAGCTCCAGACATTGCTGCTCTGGATGCCAGCAGTGGTGGCAGTGAGGCGGTGATGGCTTCTTTATGAAAAAAAACAGATAAAAACCAGGCTGGAAGGCAAAAAGTCTGGATGTGGACCGAGCAGCAGCCCTAATCCTGAAGCACTGCTGGGGATGGTGAACCCCTGGCTATCCCTGTTTGGAGCAAAAGGCTTTGAATGCCAGGTTATGGCTCAATTCCAAATGAGGGTTTCTCCTCGCTGTGGACACACAGCCAGGGAGATGTTGGAGCTTCAGGGCTGGTTTTGGGGCACAGAAACCCCTTTGGTCCATGTAATGTGGGGTCCCAGCAACTCCTTGCTTGGTCCATCACGGGGCACCATCCTCACTCCATTGTGGTGATGCTGCCGTGGCAACCATGGAACCTGGGCCAGTGCAGGGCAGGACTGGGACCAGTTCTCTTCTAGGTTCTTCCCTCTCCTGAGCTTCTTGCTGGAAATAGGGGTGGATCTTTGGGAAAGCCTGACTGCCACTGTGGTTCTGTCTCCTGGCTGGAGAGGAAGGTGCCCTGTGTGGGGCTGAGCAGTGTCAGGGGACACAGGGACACCCAAGGGACTGCAGTGTGGTTGCTGGGGACCAGCTCTGGGGGTAAGGGCTGCAGGGTCCACTCTGGTGCCCTCCTGGGACAGGGGTGCTGAATCCAGGTGCTCTGCAGGCACAGGGTGGGGGGGACTGGCCTCGCTGGAATTTCTATGGAAACCCAGGTACTGAATGGGATGGAACAGCTCAAACCATCTGTTCTTCCCCTACTTATAAAACTCGATAATTTCACGATGACATCACCAGAAATGCTCTCCTTTTATTCCTCTTGCAGCCATCTGTGATGGTTTCCTCATGTGCCAAACACGCGAGCGGGTGCTGAGGGATGGGCAGGAGGACACAGCCACCCCATTACTCCGGTTTCATTTCTTTCCTTGGAAAGCAATCCTGTGCCTGCAGAGTTTCACTTGTTCCCTTCCCAAGGCGTCTACAGAGCAACCAGCAGAGTTAGACGGGGAAAATGAAGGTAAAATAGAAGGACAAACTAAAGCTGAGCTTCACAGGGACTATGGAGGATCTGCTGTGGGGATCTTAGCCATGGAAATAAACATCCAGCAGGTTTGCTCCTGCCACCAAGGTGCTGGGGAGCACTGGGGCTGCTTCTCCTGTGCCAGGAATGAGGAGATTTGGGTGTTGGAAGAGGCAGAGTTGGGGAATTTGAGTCAGCTGAGGACACAGGTAGTGGTGGGTCTAACTGCCTTCAGTGCCTGCTTGCTGGGCAGTTTCTCAGCTTGAAGTCACCTTCTGATGGTCGGGGACAGGAGCACTCCTGCTCCACTCCTGCTCCACTCCTGGGCTCATCCATGTCCCCAGCACCAGTGGCTCTGGTTCTCACTCACGTGGTCCTCGCTGTTGTGCTGGGTGATAAAAGAGGTGACAACCTGCCATCACCTGTCCTCTTCGCTGGTGGAGGTCTCTCCCTGTCCTGGAATGGAGGTGCTGGCTCCAGCTCAGCCAGCACTGTGTGTTTTGGGTGGTGATGGAGATCCCAGGTGCCAGGGAAGAGCTGGAGCTGCTGCTGCTCAGCTGCTGCCACTGCCAGCTGCGTTTGCTCGACTGACCAATCCTCCCTTGTCTGTGGCAGAGGAGAGAAGCCTCAGCAGACCTGGATCTCCCCGAAAAGGAGAAGGAAATAAGGGCTAAAGTGGAGATCAGGCACCTGCAGACTAATTTCCATCATGAGGCCCACAAGAGGAAATTCTTCGATGCCGATATCTGGCGGCAAATGCAGGCTCAGGAGTGAGTACAGCTCTGCTTGGCTGCCTGGAGCTTGGGAAGTTCCTCCACGCCAAAGTCACAGATTTATGGACTCCCACAGGCAGGGACACCTTGCACTATCCCATGTTGCTCCAAGCCCTGTCCAGCCTGGCCTTGGACACCTCCAGGGATGGGACAGCTTCTCTGGGCACCCTGTGCCAGGGCCTCACCACTCTCTGAGCAAAGAATTTCTTCCTAACATCTGATCTCAATCTCTCTTCTTTTAGCTTAAATCCATTCCCTCTTGTCCTATCTCATCTGCCCATACAAAATATTGCTCCCTCTTTTTTGATAGCAATCAAGGGATTGCTATCCCTTTTTGATAAAGAGATCTGGGGACCACAGAGCAGAGATGGGGAGGGGCAAGGAGCTGCCCTGGCAGATGGGATGTGCTAAATGTCATTTGTTGTTCCATTTTTGCAGAAAAGCAATAGCTGATCTGAAGCAAGAGCACAGACATGTGACATTAACGCTGAGCCAGATCTATTCACCGAGCAGTGTCCTGGTGGAAAGCAGAAATCGCATGAAGGTCCGAAGCCTCTTGCAGACCAGGATGCAGAATGATGCCCTGATCAAAGAAAGAAAAGCCCAGTTAGCTGACCTGGCCAAGCAGGTGAGAGCATCTGGACTGTTCCCTGCCTGAGCACAGCAGGGCAGAGTCACAGAGTGAGACCTGTGGCTGAAACTCCTCAGTGTAGAACGCATTTAATTCAGCCCTTGGAATATTCCTCCTGGCAAGTGGCACATGACAGTGACAAATAGAACCAGGCTCCCGTTCAAGTCAGCAGCACTGACTGGAAAAGTGAGGTTGGACTCTCAACCTTGTCCCACTGGTCCCTGCACCAGTCCCTGTGTGGTGGCACACACCAGCCTGGGGGCACAAACATCCCTCTCCTTCTCCCTTCACTTCTTTTTATTCTCCTAAAAAAGAGGTAAAACAGGAACAGTGCTGTCTGAGGTGTGGCAAATACAGGAACAGCATCACCTGAGGGATGCCCCATCCCTTCTCCTGAGGATCTGGTTGGATTTGGGCAGGAGTGAGGTGGGAAGCCAAGGGAAACGTGGGCTATGGAAGTGACAGTTCCCTTGGGCATTGTTCTCAGAGCCAGCTGCCCAAGCTGGACTCCAGGGAACATGCTGGGGTAGTTTGCCATTGCTGGAGGTGCTGCAGAGCTTTCCCAGCAGGGTTAGCTTTCTGTCAGGGATGATGATAACTCTGACCTGCCTGAGTCATGCCTCCCCCACCTGTCCCCTGCTTCACCATTCTCCAGCTGCTTCACTCTTCCATGCATTTATTTCCTCTGGAATCTCCCCACTTCTGGCAGAAGTTTTCCTCCACTCATTCCCAGGGAGGACTGCACAGATCCCTGCCTGGCCAGCACAATACCTCTACCACAGCCCCATCCTCATTGCCTCTTCCACTCTGCAAAGTGCTGCTGTGCCATGTTCAGCACCTGCTGGAGCTCCCTCCAGAAACAGCTGCACTTCTTTCATGACACAAAAAACCCCCATTCCCAGTTACAGTTCATGTTTCTGCATGTGCAGGGTGGGATCCTTTGGGATTAAAGCTGCTCCTATAACTGAGAGCTCATTAATGACAGGGTTGCTGTAGTTCAGATCAACAGAGGGGATTTTCTTTGGCTCTGTGTCCTGACAAAAGTCCAGAATGTAGGGGTGGAGATTATACTTCCTGGTTTTTTTTTTTCCCTGTGTGTGTGTGCAGGTTGTAGAGCTGGAAAAAAAGATAGTGAATCAAAGAGACACAAACTGGAGGGAGTTGGAAGCAAAGAGCCACAAACACCTGCAGAAGAAGATTGAGTTACTGGAGATGCGTCTGAGTCATGTAAGGAAACGTTTTGGAGACTTTTGGAGAACGTGTGTGGGGTCACACAGGGGCCTGGGACCTTTGTGGTCAGGACAAAGCTCAGTGGTGCAAATGTGTTTGGTTGACACAAGCTGCATGGAGCACCTGGCTTGTTCCCCTGGCCTGATCATTCCCAGAATATCTCAAAGGCTCCTTCAGGCTTGGTGACCCAAATGCAGCACTTGGGCTGTGCCAAGAGGCCTGAAGGTCTGCACCTGCTTTGTGATCAAACTGGGCTGCCTGGAGCCACCTTGTCTTGGACAAAGCCAGCTCCAGGTCTCTGTTGTGATCAACCTGGTCTTCTGTTGCCTTTCCTCTCTTGGGGAGGAGGACAGTGCAGGGCCAGCTTCAGATCCCTTGGGCTGTGTTTGACCCTGCCCTGGTCAAGGTCTTTAAGCAGCGACCTGAACCTCCCCAGTTCCCCACCAGTTCCAGAGCTTTTGCTTTGCTCTCCCCAGGTCACTGTGCGTTACAACACCATCATGACCAGGAACAACAAGCTCAGAGAGGAGACTGCCAGCCTGCAGATCCAGAAAGCCATTTATGACAACTGCTACTGGAAGCTGGAAAGAAGCCTGGCACAGCAGAACAAACTGCTGGAGGCTGCTATCGAGCAAGCCACAGAGGACTATGAGCAGTGGTATGGGGCATTGTCAGCCCTCTGGGCACAACCTGGGGCTGCTGGGTGGTGCCAGTGATGAGTGTTCAAACACAGAGACCAGCTGAGGCTTCAGAGGGAGGATTCACCACTCCCATCTGGGTCTGGGTGCTAAGGGTTGGGTGCCTGGTCAGTGTGGGGAGACTGGTATCTCCAGGGTGTTTAATTCCATCTGTCCCAGATGTTTCTTTGGATGGGATGGACAGCCCCACGGAGAAGCCAGTTTTTTCCGAGTCCCACCTGAGCTGGGTACTATTCCCAAGTACAAAACCTCACCAAAATCTGTGTTAGTGGCTTGTGAATTCCCTCTGGACTGACTCCACTCCATCCAGACGAGATCTGGGAACGGGCACAGCACCACAGGGGCTTTGGCAGGCCTGGCCCTCCTGGGAGTGGCCAGGAGCACAGAGCCTTGTGCACACACAAGGTGTGAGAGCTGCTGTCCGTGTGCAGGATGGAGGATCTGGGGCGGATCTCGGACATCCGGGACGTGCGCTACAGGGAAACCATCCAGTACAACATCAGGCTGCTGGAGAGGAAGTGTGCCCTGCACCAGGAGACCAGGCTGAAGAACTTCTTCCTCAGCAAATGTGCAGACCTCTCTGTATTGAAGGAACAGGCCAAAGAGAGAGAAGGTAACAGAGGAGGATTTGTGGCACTGGGACCACAAACCCGAAATCTGCGGAGTTGATGGGGCTGGGCTGCTCGTAGTGGTTTATAGAACTGCACCCCAAAGGCAGAAAGCCTGCCCTGCCCACAACCTCCCCACCCAGCCTTCACCCTACAAACAAAAAGGCTGAACAGTGATAATTGAGTGAGACCGAGTGTCTTGGGGTGCCCTCGGGACAGGGAGCTGCTCCTGTGTGCAACCATGGCTCCTTTTACCACAGAACAGGTTGGGTTGGAAAGGAGTCTTAAAACTCATCCAGTTCCACCCCCTCCATGGGCAGGGACACCTTTCACTATCCCAGGTTGCTCCAAGCCCAATCCAGCCTGGCTTTGGATGCTTCCAGGGATGGAGCAGCCACAGCTTCTCTGGGCACCCTGTGCCAGGGCCTCACCACCCTCACAGGGAGGAATTTCTTCCTAAAATCTAATCTAATCTAATCTAATCTAATCTAATCTAATCTAATCTAATCTAATAATTCTGTCCTCCTGGGAGGGAATCCATGGTGTTTGCTCCATTCCCATGACATCCCTGCTTAGTTTCCTGGTGGAAGAGGCTCCCTCTGCCCCTCCAGCACTGCTCCCTCTTGCCCCAGCCCTGCACCAAACCCCTCAACATCGCAGGGAAGGCTCTGCAAAGGGCAATCACGGCTCTCTGTCTCTTTCTCAGCCTTTGAGGCAGCTGAGAGGGCCAAAAGGAGCCAAAAGGAGAGCTATGAGGTGGCCTACAAGCGCCTGCTGGAGCTGTCGGACGGAGACATTGATGATTTCTTGGAGGAGTTCCTTGAAAAGGACAGGAGATTCTTCATCCTCTTTAACTACGCCATTAGGCTGAACGTCAGGAATGAGGGTCTCAGGCAGAGGATCCAGGCGATCCAGGTCTGTTCCTGCCTTTTCCAGGCAGTGATTTTGGGGCAGGGTGGGTTTGTCCTCTCCCGAGTGTCCTTCATCACTGCCCGCATCCAGCCACACAAGGAGGATGAGGGGGATGCAAAGGAGCAGCCAAAGCCAAAACTCCGCTGTTTTCTTGGAGCTAAACGTGTCTCAATGCTGCCACCGTGTACCCAGCAAAAACACTGCAGGGTCCCGGGGAGCTGGGAGCATTTCCCGAGATTTCTGCATTTCCCTGGAGGTGTTCCTGCTCCCTGGGCTGTCCCCAGCCTCCGTCTGGCGGGTCAGGTGGGGTTCCATCGGTGCCCACCCCATGTGCTGGTGTTCCCATCCCACAGGATGATATGGAGGCCATCACAACGGAGAGGGAGCAGGCAGAGACCACCCAGACTCAGGTCCTGCAGGAGCTGGAGGTATGGTGGCCATGGGTTCCTTCTGGAAGAGCAGCACATCCCTGTGTGTCCCAGCACTTGTCTCAGGGAGTCTGGCCCTGTAAATGCTGCTCTGGCCAGTGGCTGGAGAGGTGTGGGGAGAAAAGGGTCCTGCAAAGGTTTTGCAGGGTGAGAGGGTGGCTGTGGGGCTCCTGCCAGCCCTGGGCTGGCATGGGCAGCTGGAGATACCCTCTGGAACCTTTCAAGAACCCTCTGGACACAATCCTGTGCCCTGTGCTCTGGGATGACCCTGCTTGAGGAGAGGTTGGACCAGACCACCCATTGTGGTCCCTTCCAACCTGACCCATTCTGGCATCCTGTGATTCTCTCTCCAGACTGGAACTGGGCAGCACTGGGGTGGTGGGATCAGCGAGGGGCTGGTGGGACACCTTTGTGACACAAAAACCTTTGCTGGTAGGCAAAAATAGCAGAGACCACCGAGGAAGCCAACAAGTATGAGAACAAATACAAGGAGAGCAGCCAACTCCTGGGACAGATCCAGTCTCGCATTGAGACCCTCTTGAAGGCAATGGAGTGTGACACTACAAAGATCGTGAAGCCCCTTGGGGACAGCTTGGTGCCAGTTTTTGGTAGGTCAGGGCTGCCCATCTTCCTGTGCCACCACCCTGGGGAGTCCTGTGCACCACCCGCTCACACTGTGTTTAAATTGAGATTTTGTTTTCCCCTGTCCCATCAGTCATGCGTGCCCTATAGTGAATTTGCAATGCCAAATTCCCAGCAAATTTAGGAGCTAATTTGGATTTTTAAAATCCCAGTGGATCCCCAAAGCCTCATTGTGGCTCTGGGTGCTGAAGTGCAATGGGAGTTGGCCTCTCCTCCCAGCTAGCCAGCAAGAGGACAAGGGGAATTGCACTAGGGGGAAGGTTCAAGTTGGATATTAGGAAAAATTTCTTCACTGAAATAGTGGTCAAGCATTGGAACAGACTTCCCAGGGAAGTGGTAGAGTCATCACCCTTGAAGTGCTCCAAAAATAAAGGGGATGTGGCACTTTGTGGTATAAAGGGTTTAACAGGCAGGGAATATTCAGTATGAAGTTGGACTTGATGATTTTGGAGGTCTGTTCCAACATTGACGACTCTGTGATTTTATGATTCCATGACCCAGCCAGGGAGTCAGGCTGCCCTGAGGGAAGCCAGTGGATCCCCTGCTCTGCAGGCAGCCAGGGCTGGCTTTGGGCAGGGTCCTGCTGCAGGGACCCTGTGGGAGGGACACTGTGGCTCCTTCCCCCCAGGTCCCGTGGAGAACAAGGTCAAGGAGTTCCTGCTGAGGGAGTCCCTGCTGCGCTACACCTCCCTCGACCGCACCCAGCGCGCCCAGGCCTTCGTCAGCCCCCTCCGGGCAGCCTCCAACCTCCTCTGGACCACGGACAGGGCCAAGCTCTGCCCGCCCCCCCCAGACCTGGAGGAGACCACTGACCCCAAAACCGGTGAGCAGGGAGTGGGGAGAGAGGGGCCATGGCTGGGCAGCAGCCGCTCCCAATCCCCCGTGGCTGCCTGGCCCAGCCCTGCTGCCACATGTCCTCCCCAGAGCATCCCTTCCAGCCTGTCCTGCCCCACCGGGGGGTGTGAGGCCTGTAAAAGTGTGTATGAGGGGTGTGAGGCCTGTAAAAGGGTGTATGAGGGATGTGAGGCCTGTAAAAGGGTGTATGAGGGGTGTGAGGCCTGTGAAAGTGTGTATGAGGGATGTGAGGCCTGTAAAAGGGTGTATGAGGGGTGTGAGGCCTGTAAAAGGGTGTATTATGGGATGGCTGTTCTCTTGGGCAGTGGAAGAGCCGCTGGGCCGGGCCGAGCTGCGTGAGCTCGTTATCCAGACGCAGCAGGAGGAGGTGAGCAGGCCCCCCAGCACGGGCAAGAGGAGGAGGAGATTCACATCACACAGTGCATCAGGCTCCAGGAGCCCATCAGAGTCCAAGAGCCCACCAGGGAATTAAAGAAGCTGTTTCATTCTTGAGCTTCTGCATCCTGCACATCATTCCATCTTCCTTCTCTGGAAGGAGCCCAACACCTTTCACAGGCTTCAGAACCTCACCAGGTGATGTTTTGGCATGGCTTCACCCACTGCTGACAGCACCTGCAGCCAGGGCGGGATCAGCTGCTCTAGCAGAGGGTGACATCCCTGTCACACAACCCAAGGCACTCCCCACAGCCAGAGATGGGGACCACGGTGCCAATCCTGCACCGTGCCCGAGGGCAGGGCCTGGCAGGTGGGGTGCAGGGAATGAGTGTGCTCGTGGGGTGTTCCCTGCTAAACTGGCAGAATCTGACAACTCTCTGCTGCCTAAAGGAAAGCTGAGCTCAGTGCTGGCCCTGGGACCAGGTGGGATGGGCACAGCCCAGTGTGGAACAGGCTGGTTTGGGGCTGGGAGTGGGAGGCAGAGGGACTCGAGGACACATGAGGGTGACGTGCAGTAGGTCAGGGGTGCTGAGGCCAGCAGGGTCTGGAAGGGTCTGAGGGCTCCCACACCGCACAAGCCCAAGCACTGCTCACACCAGCAGCTGGGTTTCCTCTTGCCAAAAGGCCTTTTAATGTGAATGCCATTCCCGTGCCAAATTCCCAGGCACATGCCTCTCCAGGGGAAGAGGAAAGGGAACCCCCGTGTGACCTAGGGAGAGGTGATCTTGAGTGCCAGCCCCAGCCCTGAGCCTGGGCTAGTCCTTCTCTTCACCATGAGTGATGACATGGACCAGGTTCTTGTAGTCCAGGTTGCCAGACATGTCCGGAGGGAAGGCAGCGAACATCTGATCGATCTGCCAGGGAAGAGCCGTGACAAAAGGTGGCATGGGAGGGCTGGGAGGAGGGATGGGGTCTGTTGGGATAGAGGGAGGCTGGCAGAAGGTGGGGAGATCATACCTCTTCCTGGGAAAACCTCTCCCCCTGCGTCATCAGCATTTCTTTGATGCTGCAAAAAGAGAGTGTGGTGAGCACTGGGCAGGTCCTTATGGGGACACCCCATCACTACCTGCCCCAGGTACCCCTGCACTCACTAGGCAGATTTCAGGCCTTTCCCCTCTGGATCAAACACCTTGAATGCATTCAGGATTGTCTCCTCCGGGTCGGCACCTGCAGGTGACAAAGCCACGGCCGTTGGAGATGGTAAAGGAGGAAACCAACGGCAACCTCCGGCTTCTCCCAGCCTCGGGGGAAAAATGGGGGGCAGACTGGAAAGTGGGGCCCCTGCAGGAATGCTGGCCCTGCAGCTGGAGACCTGAGTGAAGTTGGTGGCACGTAGAGGAGCAGCCATAGGGTGGTGGTGTGAGCACAGAGCAGGCGCTGTCGCCACCGCTCCGGCATCCGGCATTTATCTAATCTTGGGGGTATTTATAGAGCTCCAGGCACAGCCCTTGGGGCCCTGCAGCCTCTTGGAGATCTGCATTCCTTGGGTTAAATATGTGACTCAGGGTGCAGCCAGATGGGGTGATGGGTCAGAGTCTGGCTGTAGGCAGGGGGGCCCCTGTTGGCACTGCTGGTGTCAGCAGGCTCAGAGGCGCTCCAGGAGCTGTCCCCTCTTCCTATGGGACAGCAGCAGCAGCAGCAGCAGCAGCACAGCCATTTGGGTTTTGTAAATGCCTGGGGAAACTGAGGCACAGAGACCATCTCACAGCCCCCAACAGTTTGGGGAGTCGTGGGATAAGATCTGGATCTCTGGACCTAGGGGTGGTTGGTATTGCAAATCAGCAGGAGTTTTGGGGTATAGCCATGCCACTGGGCACCAGTGAGCACTCCCAGCTGCCCAGGTGCCCTCTCACCCTTGAGCTTCTCCCCAAACATGGTGAGGAACACGGTGAAGTTGATCGGGCCCGGTGCCTCCTTTATCATCTCATCGATCTCCTCGTTCTTCACATTCAGGCGCCCTGGGGAGAGCAGCTATGGGTCAGTCATGGATCCGAGTCCTGCTCTGCGTGTTGGGGGCTAAAAATACACACCACAGAACCCTTTCCTGGGGGATTTTCCCCCACTGAAGGGAAACAGCACATTCCTGGGGAGCCACCTCTGACAAGGAATGGAGGTAGCAGCAGTGAGGTGAGAGAATTATCTCCAGCTCTGGCTTCTCAGGCTCCAGGGTCACAGAAAAGGATGAAAGCACTGAGCTGTGCTGCTTCCTTGCCTCACTGCCCCATGGATCAGCCTCTTTTAGCCCTCCCTGGAATGTTTGGGCCAAGACCAGCAGCACTGGGGTTCTCCCTGTCCCCTAGCACCAAAAGCAAACGGGATTGAACACCTACAATCCTTTCCCCCGAGGCTGGGTTGTCCTTGGAGCTCCATTGCTGATTCATGCTGACCTCTGATGGCAGAGCCAAGCCTGCAGAGTCACAGCCTCCCACAAATCCCCTAAATCCCCTTAATGCCCACATGCCCTGGGATGCCGTGGGATGGGCACAGCCAGGTGCTCCTAAGCACGGGAAAGGCAGGGAGTGCTGGGCTGTGTAATCCAGGAGTGGCTCCAGTGCCAAGGGGATGAACTGGGAAAGGCAGGGAGTGCTGGGCTGTGTAATCCAGGAGTGGCTCCAGTGCCAAGGGGATGAACCAGCGCTGCTGTGGGAGCTGCTCCAGGTCACCCACGAGGGATCTCCCAGGCTGGCAGCCTTGGGTTGGGATCAGGAGGATTTTGGCAAAACGGGAGATCAGGTGAATGACAGGGGCTTGGTTAAATGCCCCACCCTGCCTTGTTTCTCAGTTCACAGGTCTGGTGTTGGCAAAGCTGGGGAGGGGAGCTGCCAAAGCTGGGCTCACCAAGGGCAGCAAAGGTGTCTCTCAGATCTGCCTTGTCGATGAAGCCGTCCCGGTTCTGATCCATGATGGTGAAGGCCTGGAAGCACAGGAGCAGGGCAGGGAGCACAGGGAAAGGGACAATTGTCAGCCTTTGCAAAGGCTTCAGCACCTTTCTCCTTCTCCTTTCAGCTTGGATGGGATAAGGGCATTTTGAATCCTCACAGGATGGGCTCTGGGGGTCTCACTCACCCTAATCCCTCACAGCACCCTGGGGTCATGGCAACCCAAACCCCAGAGTTGTACAAACCCTTTCCTTGGCCAAATCCCTCTCACTCCAGTAGGACACCAGGCAGAGAGGCCAGCCTGGGCCACCAGCTCCTCCCACTGGGGCCAGTTATCCCTGGAACTGGGATCTGCACAGGACACCATGCCTGCCATGCAGGGGTTGAGAGCTCCTGGCCAGGCAGGTGGCAGGAGCTGGGAGATGTGCCCCAGCTCCCTTGGATGTGCTGAGGGAATCCTCTGAGGCAATCTGCCTCCTGAGAGCTTGGAGGCTTTGCCAGATTTAACGGTGTCGCTGAGTTGCTATTCTCACTTTTAAAATAAAACGACCCAAAACCAGGCCTGCTGCCTCCTGGTGTGAGCCAGCTGTCACTTGAGAGCACCAAGGAAAGAGCTGAAGGTCACATCACACCCAGGACCCTCGGCCCTTCCCACCAAACCCACCTACCTCTTTGAATTCCTGGATCTGGGCCTGCTCGAACATGGAGAAGACATTGGAATTGGCACCCTCAATCCTCTTCTTGGCTTTCTTGGGTGCCTGCAGGAGTCCAGGTATGCACCATGAGCTCACTGGCTTTTTATGGGGTGAGATTAAAGCATGGAAGTGCCCTGTTCTTACTCATGACTCCCTGGTGGGAGCTCTGGGCTGGGATTCTCTTTCCTGGGGACTTGGTGGTTTCTCCCTGCAGCTCTGGGATACTGAGGGGCATTAAGATTCCTGCTTAAATTTCAGCTCCTGGCGAATTTAGCCAAATAGGTCCAAGGAAAGATGAGGAGGGAAATCACTTCTCCCACAGGCAGGTAAGAGGGTCAGCTCTGGGGTGAGATATCCCCGTTGGAACCCTGGTTTTGGGAGCACTGCTGAGGTTGCACATAAGGGCTGTGGTTGGTCGGTGCTTCTTTACCCTGCTGTGCAGATATTAAAATATGGCTTAATTAAAAATCTGCCTCCTCCTGCACTGAGGCTTGGAACAGTCAGAAATGGGTCAATGTGTGTTTTAAAGAGGACTGAAGAGCCCCTCACTGTCCCACCCAGCCCATTATCCCTCATTCCAGTGCCTGCTCCTGCAGCTGTTTCCCCTCATGGGGGTCTGTCAGGAGGAGGATTTTGGGGGCACAGAACGGCCCTTCCTCTCACTGCACCAAGGAAGGGAAAAGAGAAAAATGGCATTTGGAGCCTAAAGCCATCTGCCCTCCTTTGAAAACTCTGCTAGCATGGGGGACACCTCTCTGTTCCCTGTGAGACTCTGCTGATCCACCCAGATGCTCCCCAGTTTTCTCTCCCTCTTTCCAAGGCAGACAAGACCCTTGGCCCTCAACTCCTTGTTGCCTCCTTTGCCCCCTGCCCATTAAAGCTATTTCGGTGAAAAATCAAATTAATTTTCTCTCTTGCTCTCTCAGTACTCACCATGGCTCCGCTCAGCTGCCGATGTCACCGTGAGGGGTGTCCCAGAGGCACTCCCTCCCTCCCCCCGGCTGGAACAATAAATACACCCCCCTCGGGGTTAAAAATAGCCCCATGCCCACTTTTGGCTGTAATAGGTAATTTGGCCGCCCCCAACCCTGTTGTCTCTGCCTTTCTCTGTCCCTCTCTCTCTCTAATCTTGTTGTTGTCACCGGCTGACGTGACATGTGAGCCCGGCAGGGTTTCAAGGTTAACCAAGCTCCGGTGGCCCCCAGCTCCCACACCGGGGATGCTTGGGGACAATCCCACCTGCCTTTGTCACTCGGGCTGGCGCCGGGCTTGTCCCCTCCGCTGGGAGGGGTTGGCCCCAGGGGACCCCCTGCTAGAATCCCCCAAGCTCTGGGACACGGATGTTTCTCCTCGGTGCTTCCAGGCGGTTTTGGGAGCCCCTTGGTGCTCGGCTCCGGCTCCCAGCCCGTGGATCGCCTCCCTTGGGATGCTCCCGGAGCAGCAGCGGCTCCCCGGTCACCCGG